CCATCAGTGCCGACCCAACTACACCACCACGCGCATGCCTCGCGGCGGATATGCGCAGCAGCAAGAAGGTTTCGGTCATCCCTTGAGGGTGAGTCTAGCCCTGCTCGCCAGAAAGACCCCCCCCTTCACTACAACCCATGTCTAAGCAAAAGCTTGTCGAGGAGCGAGGGGAAGAAGGGAGAAGAATATAACGGTCATTTGTAGGGCCACGATCGTAGAGAAGAACCCCAGCCTAGGCCAAGACTGGAGCTTCTCAAGTGCGGGCGCTTACTATATTTTCAACCCTGATGCCCGTCCTCAGGGTACCGTAGGTTGCATAAGATATCACGTCCCCTGGACCGAATTTCAAACCTTGACTACTCCACGACGAAGAGGATGGCGAACTTGAAGTACAGTGGGGGCCCCGGTTTAGCGACCCCTAGTTTCACGACAATCTGAGGTCGCTATTCAGGGCATGTCGCTAAACCGGAAAATAGCGCCATTTCGTGGGATTAAAGAGGCCTTGTTGCAGCAATATCCTTGATCGGGTCATGAATGCGTCTTATTGCAGCAGTCACATGAAGGCAGAGGAAAGAAGCAGCACTTTAGGGTGGACAACCGGGGAGTAGTTCCTCTGCGGTATTCATTCTAGTCAACCAGCAAGGTTGTTGTACCCTCCGAAGTTTGTAGGAAATATCTCGACAACAAGTGTAGAGAGGGTGCCCTTTGTCGTCTACGTTCGCGCATGCAGAATAATCTGTCCCTAGCTTACAGTCTTATGTATGTATAGATAGATCAACACACAACCAAACACATGGAAGTCCGATCTGCGAAATTTGAAAAAACGAAGTGCAAGAGGGGGAAAACGTTGTGGCAACGTCCCCCAAAAGACGATAATAAAACACCCCTGCATTGCACGGAGAGAGTTCGTGAACGCCCAAGTGGCAAAGAACCTCGCGCTGCTAGTGACTTCATTCTGCTACTATCGCGTGTTGCCGTTCATGGTTAACTCAACATGTCTCTGATGTCCATCTGTCGCGCTGGTTTCGCGGAGTGTGCTTCGATGAACAACATCTTTGCCTTGGCCAAGATGGTACGCTGCCTCGCCTAGTCCACGACTCCTCACATGCTTCAAGCGATCCAAAATGCGACGAATACTCCGAGTAGGGCGGCGGCGCCATCACTTCCCCACCCCCCGCACCACGAACTTCTTCAGCCCCATCTACCTCTTTTTCTCTTTTTCAGTGGATTCGAGACGGGTGGGGAAGCCTGCCTTTTCTTGGGTGCACACTCGTGGCAGGTGCGGTGCATCTCGATGCCATCGAGAACCTCCACCTCCCCACACATCAGGTGCAGGCGTCCACCTCAGCCACCATGGCAAGCATGCCCCGCGGGTGCCCGCAGTTCCACATCCGGCTGTTTGCGCAGCTCTCCATCGGCGCACGGCATGTTGCGTGTGTGTACGTGTCCCGCGCGGTCTTGTGTGTCTTTGTGTGTGGAGGAACGCGGGGTCTCCGCAAAATTTGAACCGATGGTCGCTATTGCCCACCGAAAACAGCCCAATAAGTCGCTATTGACGGTTCGACCGGTTTAGCGACCATCCATGTGGTCGCTCAACCGGGGTGCAGCGGTGTCACGAGATTTTGGGGGTCGCTGAACAGGGCATGTCGCTAGACAGGGCATGTCGCTAAACCGGGGCCCCCACTGTACACGTTTTCGGAAAGCTATCGCTCGACGAGACAGTTCCAATGACGCCATTTTCGGCACCGTCTCTGTTCTTCCTGCCGAGATCACGAGCGTCGAAAATCGTTGAAGGGGGTGTGATATCTTATGCAACCTACGGCAGCCAATCCTCCGGTACCGGTTCCGGTAGCGATCCCCGCTGACGACAAACATTTCCCCCTTCATTTCTTCAGTGGACGGTTCCGCGATACAGCGCTTGCGCTTCTTCGGACTTGTCCCGATAGCGGTAGTCGTCGTCTTTCTCCTCTCCGTCGGGAGCTTGGCCCGTCCGTTGCAGGCTTCTCGCGGTGGTTGCCAGGAAGCGCCGCGCTCTAGCGGCCTAAGAAAGCCCAGGAACATCGAGAAAGAAATACGTACCCAAGACAACGCGTTTATGTTGTTGTTGTTGTTGTTGTTGTTGTTGTTGTTGTTGTTGTTGTTGTTGTTGTTGTTGCTGTTGCTGTTGTGGCCATCGCAGCAAAACCCGTTGCGGTCTCTGGCGAGTACCTTTGCGGGCCCAGATGAAGCGGACGCCCTCCGTTATCGAAGGCCAACCTCTACCCAAAAAGGGTACACACTTCGAAAATTCACCCGAGAGATTTGTTACAGGTTTTCTCTGTACGAAGAAAGCGGTGCAGCAAGCAACAATTTTCAAACAAAAAAAATTGAACGTACAAAATGAGGTATATCGGCCCATTTCCAGGGCAGAGAGGACGCAACGTTCGATGTGGGATAGAGCAAAAAAAAAACACAGGTGCAAAAAGTTCGTGTACATCTCACACGTATCTCGAAACCTTGTCCTGCACTCTGCTTACATGAGTAGGACAACGGATGCGCAAGCTCTCAACAAATAGCGTCCCGCACAACACCGAACAGCCCTGGCGTAGCATATGGGAGGGTCGAGCAAAACACGCACTAGGCTTCCTCTACCACAACAGCACGCCCGACGTGCTCACGTGATCTGTGAGTGCTGTCCCGGTGGCGATTTCGGGCTCCGGCGCAAAGAGCAGCAGCGCGACAAGAGGGATGAGCACCAAGAGCAGAACCTGGACGTGCGACGAGCGACGATTAGCACCGATGGGATATGCAGCAGCGGACGACATCGCGTACAAGCAGAGAAGAGAAATCTGTGGATGAACAAACGGTTTCGCTACATGTACAACCAAGTAGACTTGGATATTCTCTTCAGTCCCCTCCGCACGCTCCCTTCGAGGGGGCCCCGCGATTTGAACGCGTTCCAGCGTTTTCAGGTGGCCAGGTTGGCGCATTTTCATTGGGGATGTCTACGCAAATAAAGTTTGGTTAACAGGAACAAATAACAGGCAGTGGGTAAGCAGGCCCTATCCCTAACCCCAAGTTAGCTGATTCTAACTTGATCCAGCATTGTTGCTTAATTAACCCTAACCCTATGTCAGCCGATTCTACACTCTTTCGAGTGTGTTTGCTTACTGAACCCTAGCCCTAAGTTAGCTGATTCTACACTTTATCCAGCATGTTTGCTTACTTCGAAAAACCTGCGCAGACTACTGTTTCGTTGGCCAGCCCGTTTGAGTGCTCGATGGGAAGTACCACACCACAAAAAGCGCATACCGAATGCGACACGAGATAACACACCCCCTTGAGCGACTTTCACATATCGATTTCTCAACAGCAGAAATGGTCACCGCGCCGAAAACGGTGGCGTTAGAGCAGTCTGATCGAGACCTTTCCGAAAACGAATCGGTTCATTCATGCATCCTCGACCTCGTGGAGGAGTCGAGCTTTGAAAATCGGTCCAGGGGTGTGTTATATTGCGTCATGTCGTGTACGGTACACAAAAGCGGCGCTCAAGACCTTGAGTATCCCACCAACCTGAAGGCCGGAGCAGCACGTGAAGCCGCCCTTCTTTGCACGCTTGCTGCCCATTCCCCTGGTGCCGCTCTCGTCCCCTCCTCCCGCGCTACCGACCCCGCCACCGCCGGAAATCCTGCCCTCATCGAGGCTCACCGCCGTCCAGATCTCCTCGAACTTCTCCGGCGACTCCTCGGAGACGCCGGTCGTGCCAATATCGTCCGGCGATGATGGAGATGCTGCTGCGGGTGCTGCTGCTGCTGCGGGTGCTGCCGCTGCTGCGGGTGCTGCCGCTGCTGCTGCTGCTGCTGCCGCTGCTGCGGGTGCTGCCGCTGCTGCTGCTGCTGCTGCTGCTGCTGCTGCTGCTGCTGCTGCTGCTGCTGCTGCCGGTGGCGTTGGCGCTGCCGCCGTTGGTGCCACTAGTGCTGGCGCTGCCGGTGTTGATGTTGGTGTTGGTGCTGCTGTTACCGGTGCTGTGCTTGTCGCCGTTACAGCGACGCGGGCGGCAGAAACACCCTCCGAGGAGAGGTGGGGGGAAGTCGGGGGCCGGAGGGGGGCCGGCGCGGGCAGTGGCGGCGACCCCTTACCGCTGCTGCCGTCCGTGTTGTCGCTTTCCGCTCCGCCCCCGAGCAGCTGTCGTATCGAGGAACCTACCCGGGAAAGCATGCCTGTTGAGGAGCGCGTGTCCGGGGTTACGCGGGAGCAGGGTGCCGCGGGGGCTCGTGGTGGTACTCAAGCGTTCTAGAGTTGTGGTGATATTTAGGAGTCAAGAAGCAACCTTATCTCGGATCGATTGGATAGTGTGTCTCACATTTCGCAAACATTATCGGAAATTCGCGCCTCCTCCCCCCCTCTCCACATACACTCACACCTCCCCTCCACACTCGTGCGACTAAAAGTACAGAAGTGCAACAAGAGGATAAGCGTCTGCAATACTCGTAAACAAGAAGGGGTGTCAACAGGAATTTCGGTCTGCTAAACTCGTAGGGATGGAGCGCAGTACGACGCTGTCGCGGATGCGGTTACGGTCCTGAAAGGCATTGCGGAGCGGGGCAGTACGGAACAGCCGCTTGTCGAGGCAATAGCTTCCAGCACTACAGGCTCGAGAGTAGAAGTCGATATCATGCTCAAACGAGTCGACACCACCCGTGAGATGCGGGGTGTGAGATGAGCGAATGATCTTTACAGCCAGCCCACCGGATCGCAAAGAACAGTCAGTAGGGAACAGGACGGGATCAAAAGAGGCACGCCTTACATGTCGAAAGGAAGGGTTCAACGCGTAGTATAGTTGTGTGCCCGCGAGAGTGCTTTTGGGTATTTGCTAGGCATGTACCTGTACGTGTGCGTGCCATAGCGGAAGGCGCCATGGCACCATCGGAGCGCCGACAACCAGTCGAGCTCAAGACGCGGACGCAACGAAGACGGTGTATCAGGTACAAGCAGTCATTGACAAACCGAGCTACTTAAATCGTGGACAAACCCCACCCGCTCGCGGCGGACGGCCTCGCTTGTTGGAGAACTTGAAGATCTTCGCCGACCCACCCCCCTCTTGCAGAGCCTCCATGGAGGGGGAAAGAGGATGGAGACAACCAGCGACAAGACGACAGAACACCGAGAGAGAGAACACGACAATTCGTAGGCCATGTTTAGGCAAAAATGATGGCATTCGATCCAATTTCGTACGAACCCAATTGGCGTGGTTTTTCACGCAGCACAGAAAATCTTTCCCTCGTCTGTTCCCTCCACGTCAGACTGAGTATTACGCGTTGCAACAAGATGAACTTCTATCACACTACTTCGAACCTTCATCTCTTCATTGCTCTCTACACCACCTTAAATAAAAAAAACGAAAATCTCTTACAAGCTGCGATCCCAATTTAGGCAAACACAATGGCATTCGATCGAAGAGGATGCTTGCTGTTGCTGCTGCGGCGGTCTCCGCCGTTTTTGTTGTTGTACTTGGAGCTGTTTTTGGCGTCATGGTGGTTGGGTGCTGCTATGAAGGGAGTGTCGATTCGACCCCCATTGCGTGGGTGTCGTGTTCAGATTCCTGGTACATCCTATCAAACAACACGACCGCACCTCTACCATAACCAACACACGCCGCCACCACGGACAGCAACAACAGCAACAACAGCAACAACAGCAACAACAGCAACAACACAAAAAAACACCAGTACCGATAAAACCAAAAACACCGACACCGCAAACAACAAAACACCAACACCACCGACAACAAGGACAACAACGGCAACGACAACGGCAACGGCAACGGCAACGGCAACAGCAACCAACAAACACCTGGTGAATATCGACGTCGACGACGTGCCTCAGCTGCTGCAGCGTGGCGGGCGTGAGTATCGGAAAACTGGCGAAATCGAAGCTCTGAAGGTTGGCCCTCAGTGCGTCCGCGTCCGGCATGTCCGCCTCGTGCAGACCGTGCTTAGCTCTGACCTGCAGGTTGTGTATCGCGCCACACGGCATCGCGTAGAAAACGTTGGACAAGGAGAGAGCAGGCAACCTAAGCCCTGTCCTGAGTGCTGTGAGCGTGTCGCACAACATCGGAACTAGCACGCCAGTGGAAACTGAAAGGTCCAAATTCCGCGGGGGAAATCCAACGATGCTCTCACAAGGACGGACCTTAAGGGTCGGGTGCTCAAGGCCAACAACACGCAGGATAAATCGTTGGCCAAGATGAGGTACATGCAAGGGAGCGCAACAGATGGTAGAGGCAACCAAAAATAGCCCGGCAACGTGTTGCTTCGTGTTTGAAGTAAGAGCTTCTCGGCAAGGGGTCGACGCGAAAGGCCATCCACATCAAAAGCTTCGTTCCGCTTCCACTTCACAAAAAAGATGTGATTGTGTACCACCTTGGCTTCGGGGGAGGGTGACCTGACACATACTGACTGTTTTGTACTCCTACTTGTCACTGTCTTTAATTTCTACTGCTTTCAAAATCGTCATCCGCATCCAAACATTTAAGAAAATGTATTCCCGGACCTTTGTTCCATACCGTTTCCAACACGCCGTCCATGTTGTCCAGTAGGTCCTCCCGTCGCCGGGCCCTGCCGTACATCCACGGCATTTGTTCCCTCAGGTAGCTGTGCGGGGAAAGTCAGTCGGGTAACCGCACACGATTCACGGACAAGGGGGGGAGGGCGCACTCATTCACGTTTGTTGTTTGACCGTCGACCCGCACAGCTCTTCCCGACACGAAGAACCACCATTTCGGCGGAATACCGCGAAACAAGACCACACTTGGCGACAATTTATGGGGATGTTACGCGGGTTGCCGTTCCATCACCCGGTCGACGATGCCACCTCCCCTGCTGGGTGTCCCGTGTATCACTGCGGTGCCCCTGGCAACCACCCGGTGACAAAAAAGAAGTTCATCACAAGCAAAGGGTACACGCACACTTCCACAAACAAGCGTTACCCACACCACCGTGGTGCCACCACCGGCAATCTTGGAAAGGAAGGACACCACCCTCCGTGACACACAGTAGGTTGCACAAGATATCACACCCTTTGGACTGATAGCTCAATATCTCGGCAGGAAAAGCGGTGACGGTGCCGAAACAGTCTCGTCGAGAGCTTTCCGAAAACGCATACTTCAATTTCGGCATTCTCTTCGTCATGGAGTAATCGAGATCTGATAATCGGCCCAGGGGGTGCCATATCTTATGCCTCCTGCGTTATATCACAGGCCATTATCATCGCACTCCTTGATTCCCGCCCACGCTAGGTACCATCTCGGGCTTTTAGGCACTCCAACGCCATCACCAGGGGTAGTTATCTATAGCAAGCACTGCATATTCCCGACAAAGACGACAAAAACGACAAAAACGACAAAAACATCAACTCTACCGTTGTTGTCCTGCTATTAGGCCGTCGTCCGCCGACTACCGTCTTCCCGTTCTTTTGCGGGAAAGGAGGAGGAAGCACGGGGGGCCTGTGGATAGGGGTGAGACGAACATGGATTGAGGGAGTGGCTAACAGGGTAGCTACGCATGTTTGTAGCACTCGATACTCCGTGATCGAAAAGATCCCACCCAACAACGGAGGAATATCACATCGGTGTGCATCCGCCCGAGACCTTGGAACTACCCACTCATTGGGGACGAAGATAATATTTGACCACCGCGCGAACGGCTACAAAGGGTTGCTAGAAGGTCGCTCATCTCGCCGCCGCACGCCTCAGACATTGTTCACCTCAGCACACACGCGTGAGCCCGGACGGAGTTAGTCCGCTTGATGAGCTGGTTGATCTTCCGGGTAGCCGACAGCCGGGGGAGATCGGTTAGCTCTCGGGTTAGCGATTCCTGGTCGGTCTCGAAGAGCTTCTTATGTGCCTGGTCGAAAAAACACGACGCCGATAGCAACAGCGACAACAGCAACAAAAACAACGACGACGACAGGATCAGAGGAATCAGAATTAGCGATTCCTGATTGGGGCTTGAAGAGCCGATCATGAGCTTGGTAGAAAAACACGACGCCGATAACAATAGCGACAACAATAAAACAACATCTGCCACAATAAAATAACATCTACCACAATAGCACAACATCTACCACAATAACACAACATCTACCACAAAAAAACATCTATCACAATAAAACAACATCTACCACAATAAAACAACATCTACCACAATAAAACAACACCTACCATAATAAAACAGCATCTACCACAATAGCACAACATGTACCACAATAGCACAACATGTACCACAATAAACCAACATCTACCACAATAAAACATCTACCACAATAGCACAACATGTACCACAATAAGACAATATCTACCACAATAAAACATCTACCACAATAACACAACATCTACCACAATAAAACAACATCTACCACAATAACACAACATCTACCACAATAAAACAATATCTACCACAATAAAACATCTACCACAATAGCACAACATCTACCACAATAAAACAACATTTACCACAATAACAACAACATCTACCACAATAACACATCTACCACAATAAAACAATATCGACCACAATAGAACATCTACCACAATAACTTCTTCCACAATAACACAACATCTACCACAATAACAACATCCACAACAATATCAAAAACGACGACGACGATGACAGGGAGAGAGGAATCGGAGTAAAGCGGAAAGGAAGGCACTGGAACGGTGGGAACGCATTTTCTTCGCATCTGAACCACCTGATCTTGGGAGCACCTTGAGGCCACGGGAATTCGTGTCTCTCCTTTGAAGAAAACGAGCGAGGAGCTACCGGCCAGGGATCAGGACCTCTTTCCATGAGCAGAGAGCAGCAACAACAACAACAATCCCCACGCGCGACACCGCTTTGACAGAATAACCGCCTTTTATTGAGTGGCTGCGTAAGGCTCGCCTGAGCTGCAGTTCCTTCGCGTGCGGGGACAACCAACACCGGCCTCTCAAACATAGCTGAACATCAGTAGTGCTCGAGGTTGTTTTTGATCCTGCAGAGTTAATCAAGGTGGGCGCGCCACCCTTCTCCCGGTAGACACCAGAAAGGAGGGGCGATGACATTTCTTCACAGTCACCGAACCATTCATCCTACAGCTCTGGTAAGTAGAAAGATAAGCAACCCACAGAGCGGAGATGGCTTCAACATGAGTATTCGATTAGTCAGCGGCTCGATGACTCAAACATTCGAGGGAGAAGGGCACGCCAACACATGGATTACTGTAGGTTGCATCAAATATCACATCCCCTGGACCGATTTTCGAAGCTCGACTTCTCGGCAAGATAGGCAGCGACGGTGCCGAAAGTGGCGCGCGTTGGAGCCGTCTCGTCGATCGAGAGCGTTCCGAAAACATATCCTTCGATTTCGGCATCCTCTTCGTCGTGGAGAAAACAAGGTTTGAAAATCGGTTCGGGGGGCGTGATATCTTAACGCAACCTACGGCATGCGGAGTGAACATCTAGTGGCCGGATGAATACCGATCAACAATTCTCGACTCACGGTGTGCTTTAGAGGTTGGTCCCAGAAGCTCCCGATGTAAACTCGAACCACCTCCGGGTTGTCGAATACCTTGCCCAACGACCACATTAACGTCCCGTACACCTGTGAACAACGGGACGGAAGAGGAGGGGAAAGCAACGACGACGAAGATAGGGACACAACATTCTGCATGTTTTCCATCAATCCCCAGCGATGTTCTATATTGACGCGGTCCAAAATAAATATAGGTTGGGTGCGTTTTCAGTTTTTGTTTCTTGAGTTTTGGGCACGCAATATTTATGTTCAGTTTTGGGTGTTTTTTCATTTAAGTTTCAGGGACGGAACATAGAGGAGATATCAGGAAAGAAGGAAAAGAAACGTACGCATAGTTTGTAGCGATCCCCTCGCGTGTCACACGCAGAGTGGATCAAAAAGTGCCGCGTCTAAGCACACCTCACAGTCTGTGAAGCAACAGCAGCGCAGCAGCAAGTGCGCGTATATCTCCACGCGAAAACTCCTCACAATAGTTCTCGAGCACAAAGTGCTCCTTGACCTCTCGCTCTCTACAGTGCACGCCAAGGCGTTGCGCACCTACACCTGAAAGGGTCGGCCAACAGAAACAAATGTACCCTTCCCTTCAAACAGCCAAACCACCTAGTAATTGTTCCGCGAGAGTTAACAGGCAACAACACACCAACAGCCACGAGAGAAGAAACGAGAATGAAACTACCCAGGATAATTTGGAATTACGCAGAATATTTGGAGAGATAACAATGTTCTTCCTCCTCCAATTATTCTGGGTAGTTTTGTTCTCGTCTCTCCTCTTGGGGCCTGTTCATGTATTGTTGCCTGTGCACTCTCTGTCTTTGGTGTTCCTCCATTTGTTCTGGGGATATTCATTATCTTCTCTTCTCTCGGGGCTGTTTGTGTGCGGTTTGTTGCCTGTCAACTCGATTTACAGGGAGAACAGCATTCTTGGGTACTTTGATTCTCTCATCTTCTCTCAGGCTGTTCATGTGTTGCTGCCTGTGTGTTCTCTGTTCTGCCTGTGTGCCATCTGTTCTGAGAACAGAGAGCGCACAGGCATCAACACGCCAACAGCCCTGGCAACGGAGAAGAGAAAAAAAACTACCCAAGAGAATTGGAGGAAAACACAAACAAAATAGTTATACTGCAAGAAACATTGGGACGGGGAGTAGCCTACCCAGAACAAACTACCCAGAAAAATTTGAGGAAAACACAAACAAAATAGTATCCTGCAAGAAACATTGGGACGGGGAGTTGCCTACCCAGAACAAACTAACAGAAGAATTGGAGGAAAACACAAACAAAATAGTATCCTGTAAGAAACATTGGGACGGGGAGTAGCCTACCCAGAACAAACTACCCGGAAGAATTGGAGGGACGAAGAAACATATAATAGGGCTGGGGAGTAGCTTACCCTCCGGAGCTCGGCCTTGTCGACTTGGTCCGCCTTGTTGAGAACGATCCTGATGGAACTCTGGTGGTCCTTGAGCCGCATCAGAATCTGAACCAAGAAATTGAGGATGAAGAGGCGAAGAAAAGAGCGTGGCCTTTTCACCATCAAAATAGCGTGGTTTCTCACAACGTTTGGCATGTCTCTCGTCCACAGCCGTCTCAAACAGCATGTTTAGTTACAATGAGCGCAAACAAAACAAGCGTGAAGATGAGAACGCAAGTTGCCTCCCTCGCCAAGAAACCGGCGAAAAGAAGAAACGGGACACAAAACTTAGTCGACATAGATATGTGCACCTGACAAGGAAAAAGAGACTCCACACAATGCGCACCCTATCCCCATTTTGAGCTCGCCGCTGAAATCCAAGTCTACCGACGCGTTTCCGGACCACCCGAATGAGGAGACAGACACTAGCCTACCGTAGGTGACATGACACAAGATACCACACTCCCTTGACCAAGTCTCAACCTCTCTTGTTCCACGACGAAGCCGAAGCCGAAATCAAATGATGCATTTCCGGAAAAGCTCTCGACGAGACAGTTCCAATGCTGCCATTTCCGGCACCTCCATTTTCTTCTGTTGTAGAGTAATCGAGCTTTGGAATTCGGTCCAGGAGGTATGATGCATTATGCAACCTACGGCACTCTCGAAACTCCGCCGTTGAAAGGTGGTGACCGACAGAGTCGAAATCAGCTGGGAACGTTGCACACAATCGCCTGGACTACAACACAGTAAATGAGATAGATATCTGGCACACGTGGGGCCAAAGCGAATGACTTTGAATTTCGCGACGCTGGGAAAAAAAAGAATCTGAGAGAAAAAGCACCTCATGATGAAGAATCGAACGGGGACTCATTCGGCTATGGGTCAACCCGTTCAGTGCACCCCTTGGGGTACTGCCACGTAGGTGGCTACGGACATGATAGCAGGACCACGATGTTGCCTACAAACATGACAGTTTTGAGGTTGCTGGAAAAGACGTGCCGATGCATGCGTTCCAGACTGCTGCACCACATATGCACGACACAAACGCGAGAGAGGAAGGCCAAGCTTCAGCCACCCACCGATGGATGTCCCAAACCTGTTGGCAGGAACACACCACCGTGTGCGTACCTCCATAAGCTCATCGCTGACGTCCAAGCGGTGAGCGTCAAACAGGACAAGGATGAGGTCGGACCGATCGCCGAACCACCGACACACCTGCTCGTGGCCACAGAATCCAGAATCCATCAACAAGAGGAAAAAAAAAAATGTTTCCTCTCGCTGTCAATGCAAAAAACAACAACAGCCAAAAACAATCGAACTCCGAACGGGTAGTCTTTCTGTGAGATTATGTATACTTTTCTAAAAAAAAACGTCGGCGCTCGCGGAAATTGCCACACAACATTAAAAATTGGTTCGTTCCAGAGATTTTGCAATACTTACAAACGCTTCGGATACTGTAGACCACACATATTGCGTACACCGAAGGACGATAAAACGTCTGACTAAAAAAGAAAAGTTATTTTTCCGACTTTGCCCGGCCTGTTCGTCACGAGACAAAGAGAACGAGTGAAGCAGGCATCTACTGCCGCATGACGGGGAACGCGGGAGAGCCCAAATCTTGAACACTCACGTCAGTGAAGCTGTAGGCGCGCTGGTGCATCTGCATCTCTCCAGAGAGGATTCCCGGCGTGTCCACCAAAGTTATGTTCTCCAGAAATGGAGAGGTAGATATGGCAGCATCAAGCTTGTCCAGGAGTCTGCGTGGCGAGGGTACACAACGGCAGGTGTGTGAGCCGTTGGTGCTGCCGTGACTGTTGTCGTTGCTGCTGTTGTTTGTGCGTTTGCAGTTGCTGTAGTTGTTGCTGTGGTTGGTCATGCTTGCTGCTGATGCTGCGGTTGTTATGGCGGTGCGACCATTCTTCTCGCTCTGGTTCTGTGAAAATCTCGTTTTCATCCCTTTCCTGACGAACACACGCACGTTCGAGACGATTATCGTCGCGAAATCGACCCAGAGCTAACTTTCGCAGGCCCCCACTAGCTCCATGAGTGTGCAAGCACCGGTGTACCAATCCTCTCGTGGCGTTTCCTAGAAAACCAATCGCAACCATAGCACCACCAGAAACAAAAGCAACAAAATCTCACCCGGATCCGAATCGACGTAGCCCCTCGTACGGGAGTTCCTTGACGACCGCGAGGCTGTTCCCCTCCACCGGGCGGTCTTCCTGGCCATGAATCACCACCGTAAACTTGTCCGTTGTCGGCTCTGAGATCAGTTCCCCCGCCAAATAAAAAAAACAGGACGACGAAGGGAACGAAAAAATACCGCGAACCAGAGACCTGTTATTTAATGGCGTTCTCAAACATTTTTCGAAAGTAAAACAAAAAAACAAAGGCCGACGAAGTGAACTAAAAAATTGCGGCGAAGCGGAGACCTGTTAGTGGCGTCCTCAAACATTTTTCGCAAGTATGAGGTTCTGACCTTTTCGTCAATTTGAAATAGTATCACACCTTACTGTGCCACCTCGGAAATATCGTCCACTTGAAAATCAAAACCAGCAACAGCAGTAACGACAACGACCACAAATACGACAAGAGGGGCTTCTCTTCTCAACTCACCGGGACCAATGTTCATGTTCGGGAAGTCGGCGCCGAGCAAGTGGCGAATGAACTGCCCAAGCAATGCCCCCCCAATAGAACAAACGAACAAGCGAATCAGCCCGACAGAAAACGCGAGAACTAAAGGTAAGAGGTGGGCATCAGAGGACATGAGACACAACAAGAGAAACAGGAAGGGAACAGCAGGTGACGGCAAAGGAAAACGAGCATCCAAATTACTCTTCTCTGCAGTACGCAACTCTTCCGCGTGGACTGCGCTCGTATCCCGACGGCAGATATTACATCTCCCCAAAGGCCCATGCGGCGTCTCTGCGAGTGTGAGCGTGAGTATGTGCTGGGTGACCACACGCGGCCGTAGTAACCCTCAGACCAGCCTCTCTCGCCTGCCCGCAACGCCGGGGTGGAGAACACCTCGGGTTAACCAACCGTGTGTCCTGCCGCACTCCCTTACCACGGCTATTCCCGCGAAAAACGACCTCACCTTCACCATCACCAACACTTAACGTGGTACTTGCCATGAGTTACTTGCTTGTTTTCACAGCCTTAGTATTTTGGCTTCGACAGTATCGTGGCCCAACAACAACTGCATTCCGCAATGCCGTATACCGTAGTCTGTAACCGTACCGTGGTCTTTCCCGTGGAGTACTGCCCGATCACCAGGACCTGGCTCTTGGCTTCTAGCTCCGTATCAGTGATGGCGTCGTAGTGAAACTGCCCGAAGAAGAACGCCTCTTCCACCGGGCGGAGCTTTTTCCTTGGGAAAACCACGCAAGAAAATCACGCGGGACGGTGTATGCACGAAAGCGAAAATGTGGTCATTACCCTCCCACCCCGATTGATCGACCACAAAACGAAAAAAACACGACCTGCGGTTGGTGGAATCGAACGCATGTACGGACGCGACAAGGGAAAATGAACATGTCGGGGTGTAAACATCCCCCGGACCCCGCTCGCAGACAAGGTCTTTCGCCATATCGACCTCTCAATACCGGTGTCCTATGCATACGTAGATCATCCACGCGTTAACTCGCACCCTGAGACCGTCACAAGCAAGAACAACCGCCAATAGTGGAAACATCTACTTGTATTTAGTGAGAAAACGACCAGCCGACGGGGGGTGTCCTCGCCACCCCCAACGGCCGGGGGCGGTAGCTCGGGCCAGATGGACCCTGGCATCCTAATGGGACCTATGGCTCTCGTCTACAGAGCTGCACTGATCGAAAATCGCCGCCAATTCGGTCCATGGGCATGGTCTGCAGAGCGGCCGACCCCCGCATCCCTGGGCGAAGCCGGGATGGGGAATGCCCAACCAACCTCCTCGCGGGAGGTTGGCCAGGTGGTTGCATGGCCAGGCGCGAACTGCCGCTAACATGTGTCAGCGGCCGCACGCGCGGGATACCTTTGTTAGTGCGGCTTCGCGCCTTCCCGCACAGTCAACGATGACGAAATAACCGCTGTTGAATGACATGAATCGCCGAACTCCTTCCAGAACAAGAATCACTCAACACATGGTCTCTCTCCGGAGGGGCGAACTTGGACCTCCAACAGCATACCCTCCCGACACACTTGCTTCCTAGATCGGGTGTCGTATCCAAGTACCAAACACAACCTCAACGGCCCTGCAGTCTACAGAAACGGAAAGGAGCATGTCGTCGGAGTTTCGTCCACCGGGATCGACGGAGGCATTCGTTGTACCCGTAACCGTCATTGACTGGGTGTTAGGGCGGACGGAAGAGAGCCGCTGGTGAAAAAGTACGACACGTGTCTGGGGGTCGTGCTCCGCCTGGCGCAGCAAGTGTAGGTAGAATGTTCGCGTTGTGGTACGTACGGTTCCGCTGCTTTGCTTGTTCGGGCCCTCTCGAAAGGCATTGTGAGTTTGTCTGGGGCTAGGGTGTGACCGCTGGAACCTGTTTCTTTTACCGAGGGAACAAGTACTTGAATACCGTAGGTTGTGGAAGATAACACACCCCCTGGACCGATTTTCAAAGCTCGATCATTCCATGACGAAGAGGATGCCCGAAACAAAGGATACGCTTTTGGAGAGCTCTCGACGGAACGGTGTCAATGTCGCCGTTGTCGGAACCGTTACTGATTTTTTTTGTGGTGATATTTTCGCACTCTCTGGCATGGGCTACATGCACGTTTCCAGATGCACCAACTCAAGAACCAAATTTCTAACGTCAGCGACGTGCTAGTGGCGTCCGCGAACAACTACGCGCGTGCTGTCCGTTTTGGAAGGCCTGCGTACGGCTGATACAAAACACCGATATGATGGAACAACGTTTTGGTTCTGGGAATCCTCTGAGCAGTGAAGTTGACACCCTCCCGGCTTTCGAGATGGTTTGTCTGTTGCCCATCTTCGTGCCCCACCCCCTGGACAGACACACCTGTACACGTCTTGAAGCGCTCCGATAACTCTCTGAGAAGCCTCATCCCGCGGAGTCACGTGGAACCGCTGCCCGTCCCTGCCCGCGCCTGCTGCCGGCGCACGTTCAATCAATTCACATGCCGCGGTCGTGCCGTCGGAGAAAAAAAATGTATGACGCCGGTTGGACCGCGACTGCTACATGCACACATTTTCTCTCCCTTCCCTCCTCTCCTTCGTATGCATTTGGAGCACGGATGCGGCACTCTTAACACTCAGCTGTTCGTGAATCAAATGTGGGTGCAGCGGTACAAATGCATACAGAATCAATAGTGGTCGCGGCTTAGCGGTCCATGTGTCACAGAATGTTAAAACCAGCATTGAGAGCATCGCCGCTGAACCGGACCGGCAGTAAGATTGTACGATAGTTTCACTACCGAGGTGCAGCCTTGCCACGAGATTTCGGGACCGGCATGCATGTACCGCGGAACAGGGAACCGCTAAACCGGGACCACGACTCTTATGTACTGGTATGCATACCGTATATGACACAAGATAACACACCTCCTGGACCAATTTTCAACGCTCGATTACTCCACGACCAAGAGGATGCATAAACGAAACGATACATTTTTGGAAAGCTCTCGACGAGGCGGTTCCAACACCGCCGTTTTGGGCGCCGTGACTGTTTCTGTTGAGAAACCAAGATTTGAAAAATCGGTCCAGGGGGTGTGTTATCTTGTGTCATATACGGTATGTCCGAACATTGCTGTTGTGTGTGCAACTGGAGGAACGTTTTAGAGTTTTACATTTCGAAAATAAACTCGTTCCCGACGAATCCTTGGGCAATGCACATGCCTATGTGGTTGTTTGCTGCTGGCTATTGACTAGTCTTCGTTGACAAAGGTGGAGGTATGCAGCACAGCAGTGTGCTAGATATATATGATGGTGATACCACACGGCAACGCGTCTCTCCGTGAGGGCCAGCAGAATCCAATATGGAGTCATGCAGCAGTGAGTGCCACAAGGACGCCTTACCTACTCTTTCATCGAAATCTCCACACAACTCTACAATCACACCTCTGCCCATGCTGAAGATAGGTGCTCGGGCGCAGAAGAGAAACAGAGCGAACCACGCCTGCGGCGTGCGTGTTGGTGTGTGCTGTGGCCGTTGCCAGTGTGCAACATGCAACAGCAACCAGGCGGCTGTAACTTGGCTGTAGCGGGGGCACCGTCTCGCGAATGGGGTACTGCCGGGTGCAACTCGCCACCGGCGCCACTGCAGATCACATCACCTGTTTATTACACACAGGTCGGTATGGCCGTGCGAGACAAGGTGAGCTTGATTGTGCGTGGTGGATGGCACCTGTCTTTCTCTCTCTCTCTCTATCTTTGTAGGGGGTGAAAGGAACGGTGGCTAGATTTCTTAGATACGCGTTGTTGCACCGCAAAACTCAACGCAACGCAAATTTCGTTTGCACCCTCTACCGCCTTTACGTCGAAAGATCTGCAAGGATCTGCGTGATGATGTTTCACTCATTCAGCCCACAGAGCAGAAAATCCCCCTTCTTTTCCCCCTTGACAATCGATAGGACCAGCCGAAAACGCGCCCTTGAGTGTGTCGAAAAACGTCCTCCCACCGATGATGCGTAGTCTAGTTCGAAGAATTATCCTCCCACGAGTACATGCATGACATTTGAGCGACAGCAGTAGTTAGTCTACGTATCCTGACCAACTGCCTCGTGTGTTACAAAGCAGTCGGTCCACGCCGCAGTGCAAGCGTGGTCATGTAAAACATTCGCAAATGTACAGCATTGATTTTTTCGACGCACGCAGCGAGTGTGGGTGTACGAAAAAAAAACTGCCCCCCAAAAGATTAATCTAATCTACACTATGTACTACACTTTACCTCAACATGATAGCAGCAGAGTTTTGGTCGTGGAGGCAAATATGAAGTGTAGTTGTTTATTTTCTACATTGCGTATCCTTCATCGTTAAAAGCCAACGCGAACACGGTTCGCAATGCCATATCTGAAGGACCTTTTGTATCCCATCCCTTTTGGCTCTTTGTTTCGACACCCCCCCGACCCGGCTCTCCGCAAAGCCGAAAGAGAAATAATGAGCGAGCAGGCGGCTGCTGCTGCAGCAGCTGCCGCGGGGGCGACAGCGGTAGCGGTAGCGGTAGAGACCGCCCCGGCTCACGGCGGCATTCCAGAGGAAGGACACTCAGAGTCGGAATCAATAGCGGTCAGCCGAGAGGGGAGACAACCACAGCAGGTGGAGCAGCAGCAGCAACAGCAGCAGCAAAAGCAGCAGCAGCAGGAACCCCCATCGCCCTCGCCCTCGGCCGATTGCGTCGGCGTCAACAGCCTCAGTCGCAACAGCAGCGACATCATGCCTCCTCCCCCCCCCGTGCTGCCCCCCCCTTCCGGTACGCCGAAGAAGCGCCCGGGCTCGGTCCAGCGCTTGCTCGAAAAGGAAGGTCACGACGCCCGCAACGTGATCAGCTGGCTGGTACCTAACCGTGCGAACGGCGGCGCTGGGGGTATCGTAGTCGACGCAAGGAGCGACGGCGAGGCAATAGGGGGAGCTGCTGGGAGGGGAGGGGGGGCTCAGCAGCAGCAGCAGCCGCAGCAGCAGCAGCTGC